ACATTGTTGACGATTTTACTATAGGAATCCATTGAAGAAAGGAAGAAATGTATTGTCAGTGGTCAGGAATGAATTCAAGCATTACTGATAGAATAGGGCTATTACATGAATTATTTAAATGCCTTTGATTTTACTGTAGGAATGCATTGAAAATCAGTAAGTGATTGTCAGTGGTCAGGAATGAAGGCAAACATTATTAATAAATAGGGCTAATATATGTATAATGTAAATGCATTGCTAATGATTTTACTATAGAAATACATTAAAAATAGGGAAAAAGGGATTGTTAGTGGTCAGGAATGAATGCAAGAATTATGGATAGGATAAGGCTATTATATGTATAATGGAAATGCATTGCTTATGCTTTTTCTAGAGGAATGCATTGCAAATGAGGAAGAAACGGATTGTCAGTGGTCAGGAATGAAATAAAGCTTTATCGATAGAGTAGGGCTATTATATGTATAATGGAAATTTGTTGCTAATGATTTTACTATAAGAATACATTGAAAATGAGGAAGAAAGGGATTGTCAGTGGTCAGTATTTAAGGCCAACATTAATAATAGAATAAGGCTATGATTTTACTATAGGAATGCATTGCAAATGAGAAAAAAAGCGATTATCAGTGGTTAGGATCAAATTCAAGAATTACGGTAATAATATGGCTATTATATGTAGAATGTAAATGCATAGCTAATTGTTTATTATATAAGCGCACTAAAACGTGGAAGAAATTGATTGTCAGTTGTCAGGAATAAATGAATGAACGTATTACTAATAGAATAACTCTATGTACAATTGGGAAGTATTGCTGAAGACTTTGCTATCGAAATTCCTTTAATATCAAGAATAAATGGATTCGATGGCATCATGTAAAACGGCAAGCATCTGTGATAGCAATGGTCTATTTCCTACAAAACTGTGGTGTATGTAATTTTGTCTAAAGTAATTTCTCACTTTAATGTTAGAATGTTGACTTCAAAATGTTCATTTTTCACTCTTGTTTCTATGAAGAATATTTGCCCGCCGGCAAATATTTCCAGTCTTTGATGAAACTCTGCGACAAATATTTTGAAAGGCATTGTTCATCATGCTTTTTCGTTTTGTTCTCTTTTTTTTTGTCGATGTGAGACAAAATATTCCTGGGGGAAGTGACGATCGAATGATTTTTTGTTTTGATATTGGTTTGGCATTGGTTTGTTTTACGGCATATCAACACCTCAATGGGTTATTTAATGCCGACTAGATTTTAAAAATAGGTTCGTATGAATAGAATATGTATTTGTAAGAAATCAGTTGATGTAATTTTGCAAAGAAGGTATTTGTCGGGAGTCAAATGTATTGCTTGTAATAGTTTTTTTGTTTTCAAGAATGCCTTGCTGGTAATATTATTTTTTCAAAAATGTATTGCTTCTATTTTTTTAATAGATACTAGGAGAGGTACCCGACATTTCCCGGTAATTAATTGTGGCTACCTTATATACTCGAGTATTAGTGCACTTTTGGTTTGGCTTGTTTTTGTTTTTTTTGTTTTTTTGTTTTTTTTGTTTTTTTTTTGTTTGCAGTATACTAACCTCAATGGGTTATTTAATGGCGACAAGATTTTTATTGTTGGTAATATTTTTTTTTTTAAATATATGGTGGTAATAATTTTTTCTTCCGAAAATGTACTGCTGGTTTTTTTTTTTCCAAAATCTATTGCTGGTAATAATTTTTCCCAGAATGTATATTATTGGTATTAAAACCTATTTTTACACTTTCATAGTGTTTTGACGCCAGTTTGGGGGTTAACTATTTGCCCAAGGCTTGGACCCTAACAGGTGCTACCACCCAGGGATAGGTTAGACCTGGGAACATCAGCAATTAAGAAGTGCTTCCACGCTCCTCAAAACCCATAATCAGAGGGTATTTTCCGTTTTATATATAAATATAATACTCAGAACCTCATAACTTAGTTAACTCCCCTACGTTTTACACCCAGCTAAATCGTATAGCACATAACCTTAGCCTTTTTCAAATCACTTGTAAAAAATTCATCTTTAACAATATTGTCTCAGAAAAATGATGAACACTACACTATTTGTCATAGAAAAATGCAACATTCTGATGATGACATTGTGCTAATGTCGAAAGTATTCGGAATAAATGAATATGTATCAAATCGGTAATTTTCTCTATTTCTTTAATAAAGACACCAAGAAGCTTGTCCGTGAATATGAAAGGATCCAACTGAAAATAAGTAAGAAAAAACTTGTCTAAAGTATTTAATGAAACATATCTCAATATATATATATATGTATATATAAAGACATTTTTATGTTTAAAATCCATTTTATAGATACTAGTATTTAAGTAAATGTTCTGTTTATAATAAACAGTATTAAATAACATTTGCCGGCCTGAATGTCCGAGAAATTTTCATAGAAAATAATCGTCCTGCAACAGGATTCGAACCTGTATCCTATACGGAACCATCATATAACCTGACGTGCCTTACCGCTA